TCGAGTTTGGCCCAACGACATGCTGGTGGTACACCATCAGGATTATAATTCTTAGAATGTTAAGCAATTATAAATAAACTATTCTATTCTATTCTATAATTCTCAGTTGGGACCGGGAACAGGCCATTGCAGCCTGAATTTAAAGCATAGGCTTTAAATTCAGTAAAGCTAAAAAAATAGTATAAAAATAGTATAGCTAGTAAAATGTAAAGCTTCTCAATTAGCATTGTTGTGGATAGCCACAACAATGCTAATTGAGAAGCTTTACATTTTCATCATAACTTTTTAATATCTTAAAATAACTTATAGTCAAAATTATAAGCTCATGAACAAATTCAGTAAATATTAACTGTTAACGTAATACTTGTTCATAAATAAGTTTCAAATTACTCAACAAACATAATTTTCCCTAGGAGCGTTTCAGCATAGTGGCAACCGACAAAAGTATTATTTATAATCAACAATATTAAAACATATTGGCTTTTGAATAAGAACTAGGTACTATATAGCTACTCTGTGTGTTCTGAGCCATAGTTTCAGTCCCGATCGTTCAAATACCCGCCTACAAAGGGGTCAATAGAGCGTGCGAGCGGGGCATGCCTTGTGTTTTAAAATGACGGCAAAGGTATTAAATTCATTCAAGTCATTATGACACAGTTTTGATATTTTTTTGTATAATTTTTTAATATTCTGCCCGCATCTAGAGCATAGTCTAGGGGACTTTGTGTTTTAGCAGGAAGAGGCTCTATCTACACTCTGTAGAATATAAAACTTCGAAGTCTGCAAACGAGACACTATAATAAAACAATGTACAAATACGACATAGGGTTAATTGGACTGCTTAGGTCCGGTTCTAACTTCATGTCTTGGGCACCGACAGCAGTAACTGTAGCATCACCTATTTTCTACCTACACAGATAATTCCGCCGCAAAAGAAAGGAGTTCCATTGTCCATCTATACAATGTCCAAATGAAAATTAGGGTGACCGAACTGAACTAAAGAGAAAACTGCTATATCAAACAGTTCATACCTTTAGGTACTGTAAAATAAGCTTCCTTCAATCGATAATATAATTAATAATCGTGTATTTCTGGATTAACGGCTTAACAGTACGTCTACAAAAGCATCTCCCAATCGGCCTATTTGAGTGTACTGAACACACACTGTGTTTGTTTGTGTACAGCCGGCCAATAGAGGTCATAATTTCAGTTAGAACTCCTCTGTGAGATAGAATGCAGATTAAAGCCTCCGACATTTCAAGGTTTAGATCAAAGAACTGCAATGATAATTTTTTTAGAATATGCCAGCCAATGCGAGTGTTACCTACTACTTATTAACACAAATAACTTAGAAAACAAACGTAAAATAGGTTGGCACCTAATCACGTATTCGCCTGCATATTTTCTGTTTTTTTTTTCAGGATTTAGTTATCACATTGAAAAAAAAACTTGATACGGACACGGACTGAGGACGGACTTGGTAAAAGTTATTTGCTTATTTCTTTTTATTCATTTTTACGAAAGAAATCTTTCTAATTAACTCAAACACCGTCCTAACAACCCAAAATATCCTAGGCAGGGCACACAACAAACAAGTGGCAGGTAGGTATTCGGTATCCGCAATAGGTTAATGAAATACCTACCGAGGCAATCAAAGCCGACCATCTCATTATCACGAAGCGATGCCGTTCGCAGTCAGCCTGATATTGTGTGGATTTAGGCATTTACGGTATTAGGCGGTCACACGCAGTGTGTTGGGACAATATAATACTGAAAGGAAAGGTAAGCAAACTGAATTGGCAGAATTCAGATACGCTGTACAACCAATGACCAATGGGGTTAATTAACGCATGTTGTAGAGTGGAGATACGCCATTAGAACCTTTAACAAATTATGATAAAAACACGTGTTGGTGACAAGAGAGGGCTACAGAAAAAAGGAGCTTGGATCTTCAGATGAGACTTCAATTTCAGAAAATTCGTTCAATCAAATTAGATCTAGGGAAATTCACATTTCATTTAAAATACCTACTTCCTAAATTAACTACATAAATGTGTTGTAACTTTCAATAAAAAAATTAAAGTGTCTTTGTTTAGCGTGTGCTTTAAAAACCTTCTGTGACAAATCGAAATCAAAACTAAAAAGCCGCAGGCAGGGTTAATTATTATAAATGAAAACATCACACTTAACCAACCGCAAATAAACTGTTTAACGTGTTTTACCTCCGAAACATAACCGTAAAGTTCCGTAATAATTGCAGCAGTCATTTAACCGCCAAATTTTCAGCATGCCGTAAACAAAATGGAGGCAAAAACATGGGGAATGACATTACCTGGGCACGGCTGGGCGGGGTGAATCACGACTCCTCGCTACAATTAATATGCTAATTAGCTGGTCTGGTATTTACATTGGGCGACCCGATTGAAGAATATTAGAGAAAATGAACAGTAAGTAATACTAGTCTTTAAAAGCAATCTGATCTTATTATTACGCTAATAAATGAACTGAAATCATATTTTTCAGACGCAGTTATTTGATGTCAAAATAAAACCCTAAAATTGGTACTAATTAGAATTAACGTGCGTTGAAATCAGAACATTTCCTGGACCTTAATAAAAACGTTAAAGAGATCATGAAACTACTACTTAAGTAATACTTACCATTGCCATTTAGCCATTGCTTAGAGGAAAAAGAAATTTCAGGCTTCCTTAGATAAGCTACAACTGCTCTATATACTCGTACATAATCACAGCATAGCTCTGAATTGCTGCTGTTTGCTTATTTCGATAACTTTTCAATGAAACACTAGTCTACATCACTACAAACAAATCTGTCGAATACCTACACTAAATTTAGTAAATACCTACGTTCACGAATGATCTAAAATCATTAACGATTAAAGATAAATCGGAGGATTTAAAAAGATCGGCCGGATTACAATTATGAACGTGACTTGTCCAGTCACAAGCTACAGACGTATAGCAGGCGCCTGAAAACTGAAACACGTTCAACCAGAATTTAATTACGGCCTTCAATAAACCAATTTTTAATATTTAATGAAACTGCTATCGTTTTAAAAACAATATTCTGATTTAAAGCTGTTCGGAAGCTTATTAATAAAACCCTTGAAACTCGATGGTGCTTGTGTTTCATTAGGAATTTAAGTAGGTACATAGTTACGTAGACTTAATTATAAATTTTTAGCTTTAAAGTTCTTTTAACAAGGAACTTGTACTTAGCTATGGAAATAACTAAATAACAAATTAGCCCAATGAAAATAGTTAAATTAATAGGCCTTCGAAGCTCAAAGTTAAACAGCGTGCTATGGAGAGGGCTATGCTCGGTGTTTCTTTGACGTAAACTCCAAAATGAGGAGATCCTTAAAAACATGACATACTTAGTCGCATAGCACAAATATAATACGCAAAACTGACGGCCGATGGGGCAGCAAGGTTCTGGAATGGAGGCCACACCCACAAGGTGGACTGTTGACCTAATAAAGGTAGCTAGAAGGCGGTGTTCCAGGCCGCTACCACTACCAACCATTCAATATGGTAATAATTGGGGGAGGCCTAGTTCAGGAGTGGATGTCCTTAGTCCTATGGCTGAAATGATGATGATGTTGCACATTGCGAAAAGGGTTGATTTTGAAAAATGTCGCCTATCTCACATTTTATATGCGCGTTTTACGATTGTCCTGCAAGATCATAAACTTTCCTTAACGAAATACCAAGTTTATATCCGTACGACGTACTAAATGTATAATGGCGTCTTATCGCAGTTATTTAATATTCATTACGCACTTATAAATTATCTTAGCCTCTGGATAGCGGTTTCAGAAGTTCAGATCGTTCGGGGCACATTCAATTATTAAATCATGATTATTCCTGATAGTAGTTAAGTTACATAATAATAAGTAAGTACTAATACATTATAGCCACGATAGCCGAACGGTGAATGGGTCGGACTAGCCGACTCGAGATCCGAGGAACGCGGGTTCGAGTCCCACCGCCACTCGACTATTGTGGTGAGCCCACTCGTAACACACGCTTAATACGAGGGGCTAATGGGACTATTAGTAATTTGTGCAATACAAATTGCTTATAATCTTTATAAAAAAATACATCATCGTCATTTCAACCAGTGGCAGTCAACTGCTGGACTTCAACTTGCTTTGTCCCACAAGGTACAAAGCACGATTTCGTGACGGTGAATAAATGATGAGTTAATTAAACGAATGAGTAGCAAAATTTGGAAATGTAAACAAAACAAAATTATTAATTAATTCATATTTACCCGACTGCGCCAGAAGGAGGGTTATTTTTTTAAATATTTACAATAAATGCACAGAAACATTAATGTATGAAGCAATAGCGCCATCTTCATCTAGCACCTTCAAGCTCTACAGCTTGCCCGCCATCTAGTAGGAAGTAGTGGAATCAACAAAAAATAATTCACCCTGACAGATCCAGTGTTGCCCCCTTAAAAATGGAAAAATAGTTTAGTTTTTTTAATATTTTTAAGTCATGTCATAAATATTTTTTTAATTAATTAATTTTTGTTTATTCAACCCATTTATTTATAACAAGATTTATAATTAATTATTGTACCAGTCTCAATTAGTAACGTTACGACGTTACGTTTTTTTTATTTGTAAATTCAATAAAAGTCCGTTGATCGTTGAAAGGGAAGCATAATATCAAAAGTCCGTTGATCAGTTTGACTCAAATACTCAATCCCATTTTCATTGCTGAAGTTAGGTCTAGCTAGAACTAAGCTATGAGCCCTAGATGTAGAGACTAGAGTTGTTGTTTTTGCCAATACATTTCGAGATAATACGAATTTGATTAATATTTATTTGTTACATCCTCCCACTCCAAATCATAACAACATCCTTCCCTTTGAATGACGTCACGATAACAGGAACGGAACGATACCGTCACCACATACATAGATAGAACATCGCTATTTATTGTGATTGCATTGGTCGAGAGCGAATTAACTACTGTTAGTATTAAATAATCTACGCCGGCGCGTGGTGCAACTGCAATGGTACAAGTAATATTTTAGTAATCCAAGTTGAAAACGTGATTATAAAACACAGCATACCATGATGGCTTGTTGGCTTGCTTAACATACTTAAAATTATTTTCTATGGCAACATTGGAGAAGTGAGCCATCGCCCTGTTACTGTGTCATGGCGGTTTGACTTGTTAAAAGTTTTTTTGCAATAACTCACTAGTTAATGTGCTTTTTAGCGATTTGATCTTTGATTTCAACAATTATTAACACGTGATACAAAATAGTTAATAATGCGCGAATACAAAATAGTCGTGTTAGGTAGCGGAGGCGTGGGAAAGTCTGCCCTCACGGTACAGTTCGTACAAGGCATCTTTGTGGAGAAATACGACCCCACCATAGAAGACAGCTATCGGAAACAGGTGGAAGTGGACGGTCAACAATGCATGCTCGAAATTTTGGATACTGCCGGCACGGAACAGTTTACCGCGATGAGGGATTTGTACATGAAGAACGGCCAGGGATTCGTGTTAGTGTATTCGATCACCGCACAGTCTACGTTTAACGACCTGCAGGATCTCCGGGAGCAGATCCTGCGAGTGAAGGACAAGGACGACGTGCCGATGGTGCTGGTGGGCAACAAATGCGACCTGGAGGCGGAGCGCGTGGTGGGCAAGGACCAGGGCGGCAACCTGGCGCGCCACTTCAACTGCGCCTTCATGGAGACCTCGGCGAAGGCGAAAATCAACGTCAACGACGTATTCTACGACCTAGTAAGACAGATCAACAAGAAGTCACCCAAAGAGGAAAGGAAAGTTAGGAAGAATAAAGTGTGTCGTCTTCTGTAAGTGTTGCGGAGCCTCAGACGCGTCTAGATATACAATATTTAATAATTTGAAAGACTTCTCGTACCCGGATTTGGCTCTTGACAGTTCCCAAAGTTAACTAGATCGGGTGTTGAGCTTCGTCACTTGGCGAGCACCTGTAGCATTTCGAGAATGTGCATTTGTTGAGCAGTGTCGTGAACCAGTGCTTTAGCACGAGTGGAAAATGCACAGAGCATCGTGGATTTATCCAGTCCTACCCAAATAAATGTAGCTACTACACATTTTGGTCTGTTTTTTATAGTTAATGAGATATATTTGAGGATAGATTCAACGATTCTGTGTGTGTTTCACTCTAGAAATTCCAATTGTAATGTGTGGATGCTGTTAGGTTCAGAAGTTTAATGTTACAATAAGTTGTATTTTAATCCATGGCAATTGCAGCGGGATTCCATGTAGGTGTATTGTAAAATAATCAATATGAAAAATAGGTAAATGACATGCAATAATTACTATAATTCATTTATCTAATGTTAATTAAAATTGTAGTTGTCATGGACCAATTATTTAGGTCACAGCCAAACTCTTGAGTCTTTTCAAAAATAACTAATGTTATTCTATTAATATTCAATGAAGTAACAATGCTACGTTCAGCCAGACGGTTGCTTTGAACAGGAAAAGTAACAATGGGTGTATTTACCATGACATTATCTCAAGGGCATTCAAATATACTCAAATGTTACACAGAATTATTCTTCATTTTGTAAAAAATTATATAGTCATAACATGAATTCCAAATGCATTTATTAATATATCTTCGCTGTCTGAACATAGCAATGTACGGAAAGATGATTTATTTTCTAGTTTTCTAGTAATATTGTTCTGATTGCACTAATGTTTACAAGAGCCCCAAACTTCTGAACGTTTGGAATGAGAGTAGAATATGCAGGCTCCGAAGAGACCTGGAAAATGTGCCAGCAGGCCTGTACCAGCATGTAAGTAATGTTTAATATTAAGGATACATTAAATTTTTTCAGATATATTATTGTCTTGTTATATAATTCAAATGTATCGAAGGGAAGTTGATAATGCAACACCATTTAGGACTTGATAACCTTTGAACAAATATTAGTGAGCCTTAGGTGATTGCACCCTGCTGACCGTAGTGTCTTCAGCGTCTGCCTAGAGAAGTCCAGTGCGGTGGCTAGAGGCATGCCACCGGCATACAAAAGTGGACTATAACCCCTCATCTATGAAATTGAAAACTTTAAATAAAAAAATTATCGTTATTGTAAATGGATAAAGTTTTATGGTAACTGGCTCATTTATAAAAATCCAACCTAAGTTTTGCTGCTATAAACTTTGTTAAACGTAATAATTATATAGGTGTTCAAATATTGTTACGGGATTAGATGTTTCCTCCATTTGCATTTCTGTTAACATGTAAGATTACTGCACAAGGATATTGGTAATGACTTTGATCTGAGTTGAATTATATTTTTATATATATTGTGCAAATTAAGAACTTGTATATTTTTATCTTTGCAATCAATAATTAATCGACATGTACATTAACTATTAATTTCTTTTTTTTTGCAAATTTATCAATAAAACCAATTTTAAATATTTGTTTTGGGGTATACTTTGTCGCCGTTTGCGGCTCTCCCGTTGTCAGCGTGACTCACAGCACGCTCGCCCTCGCTGTTCCCCTCACCAATCAAATGAACGTCAATTGACTTGGGTATTTTAATTGAATTCAATTAATTGAAACAACAATTACCATCTACAACTATTTTATTGCCTTACAGTGTAAAAAGTTTCATAAAATGTGTATTCACTTACATCACTAAACGACTAGGTAGTTACAAACACGATAAAAACAAATGGCAGTGTGACGTGGCGGGCGTATGTCGACATTCTAGTAACATAAGAATTGACACAGTCCAATGGAAATGAACACAATATCTAAGTTAGCCTAAGTGTAAACTAAACGGCGCGATCTATCATGCACAACAAGTGTCGCGTTACACCTGGCCTGTGGCGCGCCCATGGAGTGAAACAAGGTCTCATACATAGATCGAGCTCACCATGGGGGCGGATATACAAAAGAAACGCCTAAATAAAACTAACATTGTAATTGAAATAGAAAGCTTGCGAGAGTGATTTAATCTACATACAATTGCGACCGCTGAGGAACGACGTCGCGGAAACGGTCAAATTTGATAATTGTAATGAGCGTTTAACTAGCCCGAAGCTCGTATCGCAGCTTATCGCATTCGGTTTCAAACGGGTCATGAATCCTGGAAACCATGCCCTTATCTGCATAAGGGATTAATAAACGGTCATAATATTGAGGAATATATGCTTTATCTATATGTTTATTTTTATCACATGAATTTGCATAGTGATAGTGAATGTTGATAAGAATCGCCCAAACATGTCATGGCTCTATATGTGTTGCAGTTGGCCAATTAGATATTAAATTGTACAAAGGTGTAGAGCTTGAGCAAGACGGTGATTAGTAATAATACAGAAAACTCCATATTTAGTTTTAAAACTTTAGTAAATAGAATAACATATTACAAATATGTCAGTTGGTATATTAATTGACTAATTAGACTAATAAACGTGCTGATGACGCTTCTGCAGTTTACGTCATTATACAATAGTTTCATGAGTAATTGAACACTCATGAACAATTATAGAGAACTATATTTTGGTCTATCTGCATTATTTTCATAAGATGTTAAAGGCGGAAAATGTGACTACAGTTTTCTAAAAATTTATGTAACTAAGTGCTATTACTTTATAATTATATTGGACGGACTTAACAATGTTAGTGACTAGGTTAAACTTAACTAGAAGTGATTACTTATAATAAATTTATTCATTATAATTTCAAATTACATACATTCAAGATGATATCATAAATGGCTTATGTATGTTAAACTACATTTTGTTTCTCAGCAAATAGGTACATTAAGGAAACTGTAAACAATTGAATTATTGAATACAATTTTTGAGATCTGCGCATTTCATATTAGTTACGACTTTAATAGTATTCCTTATCTGTTGCTGAAATACATTAATACCACAGCACAACCACATAATTACTTATTACATCCATAATCTATTTTAATGCTCTTGGCAGACAATATTTTAATTGTAATACATTACAAACATTTGTAAACAATTCAGAAAGTTCGATACTACCGCATAACTAAGACGCGTGATTTTAACGTAACATCGTCCTACTTAGCGGTGTTATGGCTGTGTTGATTAGTCATCGAGAATAAATTCACGCTTTGAACATTGACTAGACCTGTTCTTATAAAATGACTCAGGTTTATTAGAAGCTTACTTCCGGCCTTCCGGGTGATCTACGACCTTACAATGACATGATTCACCGGCATTACTTAGCTTTATCCGCAAGTCTTAAGGGTCTAACGTAACGGAATATAACTTACAACTATAATATAAACCTCTTTGCTAATGAACGTACGTAATGAATAGTTACGTCGTTATTTGAGGAATTTCAAATTACCAATTTACAGAAGTTACGAAACAGCGTAAAACAGTTTGACTGATATGGAGCGTTGATTAGTAAGGACGATTTCATTTGCTATTATTGTTTTAGCAAAATTAAATAACAAGGTAAAGTTTCAGTCCAGCCTGACTCGTGACGTGATTTCGCGATAAACTACTGCCTACTTTTAGAAGTACTAGATGCCATCATGCGTGGGACCCTTAATGGGATACGTTCCAGTTCCAAAGATCTGTCTATTTAAGGTAGCTTGAAGCTAGCTATTCGCGACTTCGATCTATGGACACGGCTTCACTTCATTGCCTTTGCGAGCGACTAAAATCTATTTTAGTTCATGATAACATGTTTAATTAAGTGAAAGTTAATGTCACACTTCACATCTTTCGAACTAAAACGAAAAACCTAATCTAATGTTTGCTAATTTGTTTAATAACTGCAATGATTTTGGCATCGATGTTTGATACTTCTGGCAGTCGATGTGGAATAATTGACTATTTAGGGCGATTCGGTAGAAGTAGGATTCAAATAATAGACCTAATAAAAAGTTTTAAGTCTTACAAGCTAATGTAATAGAAAAACCTTAGTAGGGCAACCATTTAAATACAACATTTTGAGAATCGTCAACAAATTCTCGAAATCTAGATTTAAAATAAATATTGTATTATTATAAATAATCATATAAATAAACTAATATTACGAAGTGACTAGAATAGACATCACTATTATTACAAAATGACTTAATACTTATAAAGTAGAAGCCACTAGATAGAATTTAACCACTTTTTGGTGACCAGTCAGCTATTTGGACAATTTTTATTGGACTTAAGTGACAGACCATCGTTTAATACTGTTGCTGACCTCAACACCATACGTATGACTCATTTGTGCACTACATAGTTGCTTTAAATGGAAGATTTAAGGTACCCCTTAAGAGACGTAAAAGTTTTTGTGAATATTTTGTGCGTTATTTTAAATCTTGGAATTTCATTTCATAAATTTTATGGAGGTAACAGTGTATTTTAACTGTGCGTCTTGAAAAGTTCATGTTTTTGTACCTCTTTTTCGAAGTCATATTTTTTATTACAAGTGTGAATGGTGTCTTCCAAACCATTAAAATACTATCATTACTTTATCTAAAAGTCTGTCAAGTGTGAAGAGGTTTTTCTTATTCAATTTTTAACAAATTTGTAAATAACGGATTTACTCCACAAAGTATTTCTTTATTCGTCTCTTTTATGCTTGCATTCGAATGCGAGAGAAAGACAGTGGTTCCCACATACAGTTCTTGATGCCCATCGAGTACATTTTCTAAATCTACTTAAACAGAATTGATCTCTTTCTAGAAATGTAGTAGTACGATAGTAGATATAGTCTGGTCTGTGAGCACGTAGAATTTTGTCCAATGACCCCAAGCTACCCATCCTTGTCGCTCGCGCGTAATTATGTTGCTATCGCGCTCGCACACTCACTACGGGTGCCAGTCGCACAGTCGCGACAGCAATATAATTACAGCAGCATTACAGCAATATTATTAATTTATAAGATAAAGATGGATAGCTAGGGGTCATTGGACAAAATTCTACGTGCTCACAGGCCGGGCTTTAGTAATATGTGCTAAGACACCCGTACAGTATTCTTCTGGCTGTAACGTCGCGGTGTCTATTTGTTGGAAGAATCATAGCTGTCGTTGAGCGGAGGCAGGCTGTGGGCCAGTGTGCTATCCAGCTTCCTCGTCTCGTGCTCCAGGGTGTAGCAGTCCAGGGCGGGATCCTGGAACGAACAGGAGTTACTGTTAGTACTTGCAGTAAGCTGTGTCGTACACAGCTAGGGATTAAAGTACTCAATAATAGACATGAAATGAGTGTGTCTCTCAATAATAGAAATGAGAAAAATAAGTCAATAGGTCAAACATGATATTTCACACAAAGACTATAAACTTTGGACTCTGTTCATTACAAGATCTTACCATATTTTTTTTAATACAGAATCTCATTTATTAATGTTTTAATTAAGCCACAAACTGCCCATCAGCGGGTAATAATTTGAGCGACATGGGCGCAAAGTCGCGAAAGCAATCGTCTCGCCCACCTGTTGTCCAGTTTGAGGCCGACTAGCAAGTGTAAGTTGGATACAGCCTGTTAGCGCCTTGTCTACAGTCCCTTTGCACCTTGTGGGCATTACCTGCGACGACGCGGTTCGCTACGCGCTACATACGCTTTCCGCCGCCGATCTCCATTGACAGTTGCGCGCAAAGTTAGGTCGCAGCGAAGGCTCAATATAGTCCTGTCAGCACCTTGTGTACAGTGCCCCTTTGGCACCACTTTGGGTACGGAACTGAAAATCCTGCGAGTATTACCTGTGAAACAGTCCGCAGCGAGTCTCCAAGCGCAGATCGCAGGCGCTGAACTTTGCTACATACGCCTGCCGCCGCCGGATCTCTGCTGACAGCTGCGCGCGCAGCGATGGTTCAATAGAGTCCTTTTAGCAGCTTGTCCCTGTGGCACCTTATAGGCACGGTACCTCTAGTATCCCTTTGGCACCACCTTGGGTACAGAACATGTGATCCTGCTAGTATTACCTGCGAGACAGTACGCAGCGAGTCGCCGAGTGCCGATCGCAGGCGCTGCACGTCGTTACGTGCTACGTCGCAGCGATGGTTCAATAGAGTTCTTTTAGCACCTTCTCCCTCACGGTACCTCTAGTATCCCCTTGGCAGCACCTTGGATACCGAACCTGTGATCCAGTCTGTATTCCCTACGAGACGGTCCGCAGCGAAGGCTCAATAGAGTCCTGTCAGAGTTCCTTTGGCACCTCTTTTGTATGGAACCCCTGAACTTGACCTTCATTGGTTGGGTTTTCATGGCGGTCAAGCTGTAGATCCTGGCTACACAGGAGTTGCAGTGGTGGGAACAAGAGGTGGGAATAGTCCCGTAACCTCTAACTAGTAACTTAGTATTACCTGCGAGACAGTCCGCAGCGAGTCCCCAAGCGCTGATCGCAGGCGCTGCACGTCACGAGCGGCGCGGCCGCTGCGCGCTACGTACGCCTGCCGCCGCCGAACCTCTAACGACAGCTGCGCGCGCCGTTATGCCACAGTGATGGTTCAATACAGTCCTTTAGCACCTTCGGATCCTCTAGAGTCCCTTTGGCACCACCCTGGGTACAGAACATGTGATCCAGCCAGTATTACCTGTGAGACAGTCCGCAGCGAGTCCCCAAGCGCTGATCGCAGGCGCTGCACGTCGCTTCGTACGCCTGCCGCCGCCGGATCTCTAACGACAGCTGCGCGCGCGGTACTGCCACAGCGATGGTTCAATACAGTCCTTTTAGCACCTTCGGATCCTTTAGAGTCCCTTTGGCACCACCTTGGGTACGGAACTTAGGATCCTGCTAGTATTACCTGCGAGACAGTCCGCAGCGAGTCTCCAAGCGCTGATCGCAGGCGCTGCACGTCACGAGCGGCGCGGCCGCTGCGCGCTACATACGCCTGCCGCCGTCGGATCTCTGCTGACAGCTGTGCGCGAAGTTGAGCCGCCTGTGGGATAAACGATCGTATGTTTGAGGGAATAAGATCTTTACTTCTACACCGAATCTTATAGGCTAAACACCACTGGCAGTGCTGAACTTTAGTGAGAAATATGACACTCGATTCAATATCAGAAATAAATAAATAAATATATCTTCTTTGGACAATCTCACACAGCGCCATCTAGCCCCAAAGTAAGCAATTAATATGCTTGTGTTACATGGGTGCTAGCTTAACGGATATACTACTTATATACTTTTTTTTAAAATACATACATATTATAGATAGTAACACCCAGACCCGTCACAGAAATTAAAATTCATCATTTCAATTTCTGCCCGGCCGGGAATCGAACCCGGGACCTCTCGGCATAGTAGTCCGTTCTGAACCACTATACCAAACGGCCGACAGAAATCTATTTGACTTTATGACAAGTGACAGAACCGTGCGTACTTTGAGCTAAGATAGCATTTGGGCAGGCCTGGCTCACTCCGCGCGCGGTACATCCGATAATTACCTACAGCGAAGCGCCCCGCCGGCGGGTATTATATCAGTCGAGTGTCACGCGCGCGCTCGTCAGGACGCTGGCGCGTGGCGTGCGTTGTAGTAGTATGATTATAATTCTATGATAGAAGTATTATTTAAAAATGGACATAAAGAGAAAGAAATATTGTGCGGCGTTCGGGTGTTTAAATTCGAAAAGTAATCTACCGGATTTATCTTTTTTTTCGCTTCCCATAGATGCTGAAAGGTATGTTGGCCATGTAGGTAATCAATAATTCTTAGGATAGTATAGGAACCTAACCTACTATGAAGGTTTTCC